ATTGGAGGGACACTGGGGCAAGCCCGGGCCTTGAGTCACTGTGTGTAAAGGGAGGGACGCAGGATGGGGCAGGTTGCAGGGATAGGGACAGGCTCAGCCGCAGCACCTGGGGAGGGGACGGACACAGACCTAGAGGGAGCCCCACGGCACCCCGAGTCTCCCTGGGGATCTGCAGCTCACCAGCACAGGGCTGGAGCTGAGACCTGACGTGCTCACGCTGTGTGTGATCCGCACAGCCCCCGTATCCTCCTGGCCTTAATCCCTCCAGCACCCAGGGAAGCTGCGGACTTCCCAGCAGCAGCATCCAACCCTGGTCCCCAGACCGCCCATGGAACCAGGATTCCCGGCAGCAGAGGGTGCTGGTGGCATCGCCATGCCCAGGGTTTGGGCCAGACCACCGGTGAGGGGAGGAAGCTGCAGGGCACGGTGATGCTTTGGGAGGTGAGTTCAGCGGTGGGAGGGGAGGCTCTGTCCCCTCTCAGCATCCTCATCCTGCAATGCCCGCCCCCCTTCCCATCCCAGCTGCCCCAAAGCAGTTTTGTCTCCCACTGCCTGAGTTCGCTGTTGGGAGGAGCAAGGCTTGAACCGGGGTGGGAGGATTTAGGGGGTGAGGGGAAACCTGTGAGCCCTGGTCTGCTGGAGCCTGCTGCCTCGGGGGAATATCTCTTTCAGCTATCGATTTCCCTTTATCAGGGAGCTGGAATATGTATGGGGCTGAAATCCTGATCAATCCCCACTTTACAGCTGATCAATCAGCTGCTGCCCAAGGTCTTTTATCAAAGGGAGTGACTGAATCTGTGCACAACCCATCGCTCCAGGCCAGGACTGTCGATATCTGGCTTCACCTCATCCTGCCTTACCCAAAAGGCAGCGAATCCATGGGGAATCCTGGCCCCAGGCAGCATCCAGGCAGGTCACCACCCAGGCACAATCCTTGCTTTTCCCTTGATGAGTGCCAATGCTCTGGGAAGCCCCATTTCTGATGGTCCCCACTGTAGGGACCTCAGAGCCCCAAACCCAGAAGTGTGGGGTTCCACTGACACCCTGGAGCTGGAAAGCAGCCCCAGCCTCTTGGAGTGCTGGGAATGGGGTGCCCAATGAGAGCATCCTTGCAAGCACACTTGTGTCTCCAGCAGGTTAATGCACCCTCAGCCCCGTGTCCCCAGTGTTGGCAGGTACTAGAGCATCCCTCAATCCCGAAGAGCCTTGTTAGAGGCACGGGGGGTGTGTGGGGTGTAGGGAGCTGGTGAGGAGGGAGGAGCAGCACCATGGCTTCTGTTATTGATTGCTTCATAGCCAAAGGTCAGCAGTGAGCGTGCAAGGATGGGGAGGAGGGAGGTGGTGGCACTGGGATGCGAGGGGCTTACTGCCAGCACTGGGGCTGTGCCATGGGAGGCAAGTGCCAGCCTTGGGGAGCACTGGTGTGGAGACCCTGGTGGGGGTTCCCATTGCACAGGCACCCACTGGCACCCTCCTTGTGCCTCAGTTTCCCCACCAGCAGACTGGGTGCTGGGTGCCTGGCAGTGCCCTGGCTGTGGAGGCTGCAGGGAAGAGTCTTTGCTCATGGGAGGGAGGTGGAGGTAGGCTCAGTGGGGGCTGGAGGAGGTCTGTCTGTGTCTGTGTGCAGCCAGGTGGGTTGTGCCTGTGGGATGCACAGGGATATGGCTCAGCTTTCCCTGGCAGGGGCTTGGAGGCTGCTTTTGAGCTGGTCTGTGCTTTCTTGATGGGCATGTGGTGATGGTGACCGTGCTGAGATGGGAGATGGTGGCGGAGCCACAGCCCCAATAACGCTATTGCCAAGGGCCCTTCAGCTCCCCAGGGATGGGTTTTGTTTGCAGTGAGGACACCAGTCCCAATCTCTGCCAAAGCTGTGACCCATGTGCCCAGGCTTTGCACATCCTTGAACCTCATCCTGCCAGGCTCAGGGCCCCATTCTGCCAGGCTCAGGACCTGGCTGGGGCCAGGCAGTCCGCTGGCAGCACCGTGTGGTCCCTGATGCCGGACCACGGGCAGCACCTCTGGCACTGGGCTTTGGCAGAGCATTGCCTGCCCTTGCCCCGGCCGTGCCGCGAGGGGGAAGATTTAGAGGCTGTCAGAGCCGGGGCCAGAGGTCAGCAGGGGTCAGAAAGTCCATTTCGGTGAGGTCACTGTCCACTTCTTTCAATCTAATGAAGCCATTATTTGTGCAAGCGCCTGCTCCGCCGGCTATTCCCTTGAAGGCGAGCAGGGCGCAGCGCCCGGTTCTGAAAGAACAGGAAGGAGTCCCCTTCCCTTTCTCATTTCCCATTCAACAGGCCCCCCAAAAACAAATACACCACACACGGAAATATGGCGTGGGGCTGTCGCTGCCGAGGGGCTGCGGTACAGGAGATTGGGAGGTAAAAGGACACTGCTCAGGGATGTGGCTGCATCACTTGGATGGGAATCAGCGAGGATGGGCAGGAATTGGGTGATGCGGAGAAACTTGATGAGTGTAAACAGAAAAGTGTCCCAGGGGACTGTGGGTCCCTCCTGTCCATCAGGAAGGGGCTGGGGAGGAGGGAAGCTGGTGCATGGTAATGGGTTGTGTTCTGAAGGATTTGGTTTGGAGGAAACAAGGGCTCATTCCTCACCACATTCTTCCCCCGTACCCCCATGCCTCTGCCCACTGCCCGCACCACTCAGGGTGTCCTTTCTGCCTCAGGACACCGTCCCCAGGCTATGCGGCTGCTGGCACTGGGGTGTTCCCTCCAGGGACGAAGGGATGGAGCTGTTTCCCAGGGCTGCCCTTCCTCATGAGCAGAAGCACCGGAGCAAAATGCACAGGCAGCCGGCTGTGTCCCCCCTAAATCCCTGGCAAAAGGTGGGGAGCATGGAAGGAGATGGGCTGGAAGGAGGGACAGAGACACACGGAGGGGTCTCCTGCAAGTCTTGGGTTCCTCCTCCTCCTCCTTCCCTCTTACCCGACTTATCCCACAAACGGGAGAACGGGAACACACGGAACCCGCGGACCCAGCCCCGGCGGCCAGGAGGGGGTGACAGATGCACGCAGCCACCGGGAGTGCTCCCGCAGCGGATCCCCACCCGGGGCGGCCGTGGGTGCCGGCAAGGAGAGGGGAGCAGGAGCAAGAGGGGAACCGTGGTTCCCCTCTCACCAGCCCCGGGTACAGAGCTCTGCAGGCTGCCCAAGCCTGGTTGTGGGTGGGAGTGGAGATCCCGGTCTGTGCCCAGGAAGCACCCGGCTGGACTCTGCTGTCCTGCAGTGTCAGACGAGGGGCTGCTCGTTGGATTTGGGTCAGAACTGATGTTAACAAGAGACCAGTGGAGTTTCCTCAGCCTCCTGGTCCGTCCCCATTAAAAACACCATAAAGATGAGGAAACACCCTATGAGCATCATGGAATTAACGCTGCTGTGGGCAGGTCACGGGCACCTCCTGCTCCACCCGTGGGGACCCAGCTGAGGGAGCTGCAGAGCCCTGACGTCCTGGGGGGCAGCCCCAGCTGCCTCCTCCCGAAGGCTGCCCCATTTTCCTGCAGGGAGAAGTCCTCCCCCCCCCCGCTGCCACCCCAGCCCCGCTCGGCTTTGCGGGGAAAGAGCAAAGCGGAGCCCTCGGGTGGAGGCAGCCTTGGTGGTGGGCAGGAGGAGGAGGAAGAAGAAGGGCGGGAGGAAGAGGAGGAAGGGCGGGAGGAGGAAGGCAGGCTTGCAGGACCCTGGACAGGGCCGGGGCCGTTCAGCACCATGGCCAGCGCCGCCGCCGCGGAGCCTTCGCGCGGGGCTGCCCCACGCGGGATCTTACCGGTAGCACCGACCGGGCCCCCCCGTGGGGGGGGTCCCACGGGTGACACTGGGATCCCCGGGGTGCCCCCCCCTCCCCCTCAGCTCAGTGCCCTCCCAGCCCCCCCGCCCCGGATCCCCTCAGTGATGCCACGGGGAGCGAGTCCTGCGTGGGGCGGCCGCTGTCAATGCAACCCCCCCCAACCATTCCCTCGGGGGGGGGGGGGCGGCACTGCCCGCTCAGCCCCATTCTGGGGGTCACCACGTACCCCAACACAGCCCGGGAGGGGCTGCGGGCGGCGCTGTGCCCCCACGGGCCAGGCCGGCAGCGGGGCATTGTCCGCCGCCGGAAATGGAGCCCTGGTCACTCGCCCTTTGTCCCCGCCCGGCCTGGGGGGCTCCGGACCATTCCACCCCCCCCCCCATCCGCACCGCCGGCGGGAGGGCAGGCTCTGCCACCGGGCCGGGGGGGGGAAACGGCCCCGGGGGTGCTTGGCTCACCCGTTGGACACGGGATGGGGCTGGGGGCGCGGGAAGCCCCCGGTGTCCCGGATAACCCCCCCCCCCCCCCGTGGTGGATCAGCCTGGTCCCGGTTCCTGTCCCGGGACACGGCTCGCAGGTGGTTCCACTCGTGGGGGGGACCACGGCGGGGGGGGGGGGGGGAAAGGAGAAGCGAGGTGGATGAGCCCCCAGCCCTCGGGGTGCCACCCCCCGGGGCTCACGTCTCCATTGACAGGTGGCCTCGCCCCTAAGCTGGGGGGGGTCAACCCTCCACACACACTGCCCCCCCCCCCCTTCCAAATCCCTCCCGGAATGTGTCGCTATTACCGGGGTTGGGGGGGGGGGGGTGTTAATTAGGATCACGTGGGGACGGGATGGTGGAGCGGGACCCGGTGCCGCCCCCCACCCCACCCCCCCCCCCCCGGCCCCGCGGGTGGGTCCTGGGGGGGGGTGGGGGGGGGGGAAGGGAGGGGGGGGGCGGGGGCTGCTATTGTCTGCGAGAATTTGGGAGCCTTTGAGAAACCCCTCCCGCTCCCTCCCCCCTATTGTTGGAGGGAAGATGGAGTCAAACCGCTCCCGGCTCCCTCCCGGCGGGGTCTGAGCCGCTTTTTTTGTTGGGTTGGGGTTTTTTTGGGTTGTTTTTTTTTTCTTTCCTTTTTTTTTTTTTTTTTTGCTTTTTTTTGGGGGTTGTTTTTTTTTTTTGGGCCGATACCCTCAAAGCTGGCCGAGGAGGAGGAGGAGGAGGGAGGAGGAGGAGGAGGAGGCGGTCACAGCCACAACTCGGGATTTGCGAGCCAGTGTCGGGATGGGGTCTGTTTCCAACCAGCAGTTTGCAGGTTAAGTTATATTATTGTCTCAGCCCGCCTCGGCTCCGCGATTATTAATAACAGAGCTCGCATGGGGGGGGTGGTGTGTGCGGGACCCCCCCAGATCCAGCCCCGCAGCACCCCAGCAGCGAGGCCGGGCCCGGCGTGGCCCCGCTCCCCCGCTGCAGCTCTGGGGGGGTTTGGGGGGCAGGGATAGGGTTATTTATTTGGTTTTCACACCGCTCCCCCCCCAGCCCAAGGATGAGCCCAAAGTTTGGGGCCGGTGGTGGCTGTGGGGTTATTTGGGAGCGGGGAGGGGGCGTGCAGCGGGGGGATGCTGACGGCGGGGGAGAGTCTCGCTCCAGCGTGGCTGCCTGGGGACAAGGGGATTTCGGGTGGGTGTTTTGGGGCAGTTTTTCCCCTTTTTTGGTAGGTTTGGATTTTTAGTTGTGTTTTTTCTTTTTTTCTCTTTATTCTTAAATTATTTTGGGGTTTTGTTTTTTTTTTGGGGGGGGGGGAGTGTGATTTTTTTAATGTTTTAATTTTTTTTTTTTCGTTTCTAACGTTTCCACGGGGACAACGGATTTAGGGCCCCCACCGCACGCACCGCCTGGGTCATGCCTTCGTTTTGTCCCGCTCCTGGGGCGATCCCCACGCACACGTGGGGGCAGAGCCGACCGCTCTGCTCGGGTGGGTTTGGGGGGGCTCTATCTTTTTCCTTGCCTTTTCCAGCCCCGGAAGCCCCAGAAGGATTGGGGGGCTCTTTCTGCGGGCCGGGTGCGGGGCGGCTGGGCCGGGGGGACCCGCGGCTCCCCCAGCCTCCTGCTCAGCGGCCCCGTGGGTTTCTCTCCAGGTGCGAAGCCGGGCGAGGAACCGGCCGGAGACTCGCCCAAGGCCGAGAACGAATCTCAGCCTCTGCACGGCTCCGGCATCTGTAAATGGTTCAATGTCCGCATGGGCTTCGGCTTCCTCTCCATGACCGCCAAGGGCGGCGCGACCCTGGACTCGCCCGTCGATGTCTTCGTGCACCAGGTACGGAGCCGGATCCACCGCTGGGTTCTGGGGAGGGAAGCGAGGGGCAGCCCCTGGGAGTATGCGGGGCAGGATGGGGACCCCACGCCGCTTCCCCCATCCCAGCTCGGCATCCCGGGGAAGCCGGGGTCCCCCGGGTGCGTTTTCCCGGAGGTCGGGCACGGCCGCTCCCCCCGGTGCAGCCCAGGGCTCCTCTCCGGGGACCGGCCCTGTAAGCTGATCCCCGAACGGTTTAATTTTCCCATCGCGGTTCCCTGAGGAGCCCCTGCAGTCGGGGAGCAGGTGCCCGCGGGATGTGCTGGAGCAGGGATGCTGCTCCCTCCACGGAAGGACCCGGGGAAGAGCTGGTTTTCCCGCGGTGCAGGGTCCTGGAGCCCTGAGCCAGGCACGGGTGCAGGACTGGGCTTTCCCGGAGTCGGGGATATCTCTGCCCGGGCCCCTTCTTTCGGTTGCGGGTCGCACAAAGGCGTGTGAGGTGTATGTGAACCCGTGGATCCCGTGTTCTAGTGGCAGTTTTGTGTCCGGATTTGATGCACAAGCACCTTGCTGAGTGGGGAAGCCCCGCACGTGTCTGTAATCCTACATTGAGGGGAGTTGTGGATTTGGGGCTGCAGCTGCTTAAACCCCTCCACACCTCGTGGGGGAATGGGTTTGGAGATGGTTTGGAGCAAGCTGCTCTAGTGGAAGGTGTCCCTGCCTGTGGCAGGGGGATGGAAGTGGATGAGCTTTAAGGTCCCTTCTAACCCAAACTGTTTGATTCCATAGTGCTCAAATCGGGGCCAGTGCTTGCGTCTCTGTGATGAGCGTGACCCATGCCAGTCACCCTGGGAAAGCGGCTGCCACCCGGGCTGGAGAGCAGAGTGAGCTCTGGATCTGTACTGCAAGCACAAGTGGTTTTGTGGGTATGGTTGGGAGCAGCCACATGGCATTTGGGCTGAGGCAACGAGAGGTTGATGGCTCCGGGGAGCCCCAGGGCCAGCCCGGCATCAGTGGCTGCTGCTCTCCATGGGCCCAAATCCCCCCAGATTTGGGTCGAGCCTGTGGTCTGCGGATAGGATGGGGGTGCAAGACTGAGCCTGGGGCTGTGCAGGGCTCTCACAGTGGCTACTTCAAGGCAGGGCTATGGCAGTTTAGCAAGCGAAGGTGGGAGAAGCAAATCCCTTCTCATTGACTTCAGCATGGTTAAATTGCCTTGGTCGGAGCTACCACCCTGGGCAGCTGGGATTGGAGGTGAGGGCTCCAAATCAGCCACCGAAAACCGAAACCTGGATCCTGGTGCTCTGAGAGCAAATGGGTCTTTGCATCTCAATGTAGCACAGCGGGACCTGGTGCCCGTGGGGGAAGCCTCCCGCCCTTCTCCTGGGGGTTTATTGCCCATGGACAGTCTGGTTTCCTGATTGCTCTTGCTCACATTCCTGTAGGAAAAGAGAATTGGCTTGGTTGCCTCTGCCGGGAGTATCCCATCGCCCGGGGAGAGGTGCAGCCTCCTGGTGCTCCCCATGGGGTCCCATGTGCAGGGTTTGCCGCATTCAGGAGATGCGGAGAACGCTGGGTGGAAGTGGGTATTTTAGGTAGCAGAGGGACGGTGTGTGTGTGGCTGCCAAGGGGGTTTGGACCACCAGAAGTGGGGCAGCTTTGGGCTGATGTTGTTTCCCGTTCAGGTCGGGCTTTGCCTCCTGCCCCTCTCACTGGTGGCACAAAGTCGCTGCTTGCCTGCAGCAGAACAGCCAGGGCTGGTCTCCCACCATGGAGCATCCCAGCACTGGCTCAGCCCCGGCCCCTCCTCACAGAGGGACCAAACCCACACTCCCATTCCGGGCTTGTTGCTTTTGGGTGGCTTTTTTGTGCCCCTTCTACTGATGCTTTTCCCATCCCAGCATCCAGGCGCTTCCCAAGAGCCAGTGCCCGTTCTGCTTCCCACAGAGGGAGTCAGGCCTCGGAGGGCAAAAGCCACAACCAGGGGAGACAACACAGAGGGCTTGGGGTGCTCCAAGCCAGCTATTGGGGTTTAACACCACAGAGCACCCCATAACCTCCTCCTTCCCCTCTTCATTTACATATGTGAATGATGACCCACAGGAAGTAATTGTGGGAGAAAGAAGGGAATTGGCCTCTTTAGATCTATTAAATCACTTTATTACAGGAACCCGGTCTGAATGGCCCTTCTCTGCAGGGAGCGCGTCTCCATCTCCCTCTCCCTTTATCTGATCACAAAGAGATTAAAATCTCGGCAGGACAGGAGACTAACAGGGCTCTTCGGGCTGCCTTTCCCTCACATTATGAGCTAAAAATGAGGCATTTGGGTTCAAATGCCTCCCCTGGACACTGGAGATGGATTCATTTGGGGGCAGTGAGGAGATAAGGGGGGATGAAGCACAGAGCAGGTCCTCCCGGGGGAGGCAAAGGGCTGAGGGTGGCAGAAATCAGGCTGGTGCTGGTGACAAGCCCAAAGCTGCGGTGGTTCCCTGCGGATGTGGCTCCCGGGCCCACGCTGTGGCTCTGAGCATCGCTTACAGGAGTGTTACAGGGGAAAGCGACCTGGAAAACGGGAGAGGAGAAAACCTGCCCATGCAGTGGCTCCAGGGCTCAGCGCCGCTGACCGGAGCAGGAGCGGGGAGCACAGCTCAGCCCTGGCTCTGCCATCCCGGGGGGCTGTTCAGCCCCTGGGAGCTGCTCGGCTCCGTGTCTCCGGGCTTTTCTCCAAGCTGATGGGTCAAAAACCCTCATAAAGGCAGTTTTACTTGTTACATTTCTTGTTCCTTCTCATGATGCTTGCAAAGAGAGATGCGGGGCATCACTGGTACGATGCAGGGCATCGCTGGTACCCTGCGGCTGCTGTGGCCATGGGGCTTTTGGTCACCGGCATCTCAGTGATGTGGTCCTATGTGTCCTTGTGGGGACATAAGGCCGTGCACACAGTTACACCCGCTGGGGCTGGGATGGGGCCCCCCTGTCCTGCCTGAGTGCCCAGGACAGCATGGAGGGCTTTGGTTCCCCTGCAGTCCCTTGGGGGCTGCCATCCCCATAGCAGTGGCAGCTGGTGACAGGCTGCATCCCCATTCAGTGGGGCAGGGAATGGGATGCAGGAGGATGATGGCTGTTGTTCAGGCTGCAACCTGCACTCAGCTGCAACCAGCACTCAACTGCACTCAACCAGCTCAGCTGCAACCTGCGCTTGTGCTGACCCCCTGCATGCAGCAGGGTTTGGTGCGAACCAAGCCACCAGCATGACATAAAAGCAGAAATAAAAGCACATGTTTGGAGGCAGCTCCATCCCTGAGCAAAGGCAGGGGCACAAGGAAGGACTTCTCTATTGGGGACCATAGTCCAGCCTTCCCATGGGCTGCCCTTTCCCAGCTCCGGGGTGCAGGGCAGGATCCAGCTGGAGGGATCTCTGTGTGCAGAGCTGGGGTGCAGCAAAAGGGGAACCCTTCAGAGCAGCTCTTTGGGTCAGTGCATTGGACCCGTGATGCTCACAGAGACCCAGGGCACGTTTAATATCTTTTTCTGCTTTCTCGTGTGCATCGCTCCTGCATTTGATCTCTGGGACCAGGGTCACCCCAAGGTGCTGGTGTGGGCTGCTGCAGGACGCAGTAGCACCAGCGTTACGTGTGTCCCTGGGGAAGAGATTCCCTGGAGAGAAACTGTTGGAGCTTTGCTTTGGAGAAAATCCAGTAGGATCAAATGTTTGGTTTGGTTTGGTTCTTTGTTGGTTTGGTTTTTGGTTTGTTTCGGCTTTTTAAGTAGCCGCTGGACTAAAATGGCATCTCCGCATCCTGATGGCGAATGGTGAAAGAGAGCAGCTTTATTCCATCCCCACACACACAAAAAAAGCCTCCTGTCTCTGTCTAAAGATTAACTGATGGCTGCAGGCACATCCCTTCCCCCAGCTCCCCCTCTCAGCCCCAGGGTGAGGGGCAGTGAGAGAAAACACCCTTAAATGGTCTCCCAGATAAAATGGCCCAAATGAATGGGATTGCTCCCGTTAAAGCCAGGGATGGAGCTGGGGCCGGCTGGGATGGAGCCGCTGGCTTGGCGAGACCCTGCCCCTGCCCCTCTCAGCTCCAGCGTTTCCTTTTCCCTATTTACTCCCAGTAAAAGTGGGATGAAGACAGAATCCCTGATGGAAGATGCGCTGCTGTTCCCGGCCGTGCCCCTGCTTTAATGTGGGAGTATGAGGTTAACGCTGATCTCGTCTGGGAAGTGCAGGAGGGTTTGGGACCTTCTGGGTGGGGAAAAACACAACTAAGGGAGCTGAAAGTGTGAATTTCAGGCAGGTACCAGGGTTAATGCTGTGGTGAATGCTTTCTTTTCCATAACCAGTATCTACCATTCAATGTTGCTGGTTTATGGTGGAAAACGAGGTGCGAGTGCAGTTGCTTTGGTAGTAAAATGGTTTTATTTTGGTTTTACTTGATTTGGGGAATAAATCCATGGGGTTATTGCTCCAGATGACAGTAGGGAGACACTGGAAAGCCTTGGTAATGTTCTGCTAAATCCCCTGTGCTCGCCCTGATGGGCTCATCACAGGCATCATCCTCTTTATCTCTGCACAAGCCCCCGGAGCTAAGGAAGGACCCTCTTTCCCGAGGAGCATCCGCCGGGTGCTTGTGCGGGGCTGAGGTGCAGGAAGGGACACGGGATGATCCCTGCTGCAAGCCTTACGTGTGTGAGCCCAAAAATAGCAGCAGCGCAGTCCCTGGCCCTTGAAATGCCGGCACCGGGAGATTTCCTGGGTGGTTTGGGAAGAGGGAAGGGCTTTGCTCCGGGATGGATCCATGAAGGGGCTGTGAAGGCAGAGGGATGTTTCCCTGCGGGCCTCATGGCCTATGGTGGCCCTGCTGGGGCATGGGGGCTTGGGTCACAGAGCTAAACCCTGCCCAAATGTGCTTTGGGGGCTGCTTGCTGTGGGGCAGTGCCCAGCTCTGCTGGAACAGGGCTGGGAGCTGGGCTGAGGCTGCTGCATCCCAGCGGGATGGCGATGGCATTGCCTGGTGGCAATAGGAGCTGTGCCCCCAGTACTGGGTGAGCCAGTGCACACCAGTGCAGGAGCCATGGACAGGGCTGCTCTGCACCCAGCCTGAGCCCTGCAGGGCTGGGGGTGGCCGAGGGCTGGGGCTGCTCCCCTGGGAGGAGTCCTTTGGGATCACGGTGGGGCGAAGATGGCTGCACCCCAACCAGGTCAGCGGATGCCTTGGTGCCATCAGCACAGGGACAGCTTGAGCAGAACAAGGGATTTTGGGGGGCAGGGATGCTGTGGTGGCTTTGGGGACCGAGGGGTGCTGAGGCCGGGGTGGGGGGGCAGCGCAGTGGTTGAGGAGCCCTGGGTGTAGCTGAGAGTGCTGGCTGAACCTGTGGGTGAAAGCGGGGTGCAGTGATGGGGGCACAGCAGTCCCTGTGTCCACCACTGGGACATGCCGGGGTCCACCCTTCCTCACCCCTGTGGGCCGCTTCCCCTCTGTAGGGCGGGGGAAACTGAGGCACAAGGCACTGGAGCGGGGTCGGGCTGGCCGAGGTGCTGCGCATGGCTCAGCGCTGCCGCTCGCGTTCCCGCAGCGGCTCCTAACGCAGCATCCCAACCCGGCTGGTTGTCCAGGGATGGACGTTTAAAGGGCTGGAAGGTTCCCGCGCAGCGAGAGGCGAGGTGCAGCGGCCGCTCCGCCCCAGGCCCCTCCGGACACAAAGATGGTTTGATTGAGTGGCCGGGGCTGGATGGGAATAAACGTCCCCTTGTGTCGCGCTGGGGAGGCCACGGGGACAATGGTGACCCCGGGGCTTGCCGAGCCCCTCCGGAGCCTGGTTGGTTGGGAGGGGGTGAACAGGAGCCTGGCGTTTCGGGGAGCAGTGGCTGGATTTGGGGATGCTCCACGGTGTCACCCCTCTGGGAGGGGCAATGCTGGGATCTGTGATGAGGGGTTTGTTGGGTGGGAGGAAGAAGAGGGATGAAGGCACCCGTGTGCAGGTGGGGTGCAGGGGTGATGGGCAGCGCTCATCTGCTCACGTGCTGTGTCTTTGTCTGCCGTAAATAACCACAGAGCTGCTGGAGAGTGGGATGGGTGGAAAAGCAGAGAGGTGCCCACTGTGATGCTTGGTGAGGGGGAACCCGGGGTGGGGGGTCACAGAGAGCTGGGTGAAGCCGTGCCAGCTCTGCTTCTGTTCCTTGTCCCACTGGTTAACTCTGGACCCTAATGATGACAAAAAACCCCTATGCTCTCGGCTATGCTTTAAAGCAGTTTGATGATGAGGATGGCAATGCTTTGTGATCCCAAGCCCAGAGGGTCACCCTACACCCCCCATACCAAAACCATCCCCCCCCCCCCCGGACTGACCCCTCAGCTCCACCATGGGACCTAAAACCCAGCACCCAGCGGGTGAGACCCAGCTCCCCTGGGTGAGGGGCTGCAGGGGGTCAGGGGGCCGCGGCCATGCCGCCCACCCTTCCTCCCCCCACCGTGGCCTGGAACTCCTGGAATTTGGGCAGGGGGAGCGCGGCCGCCGCTGGCCCTTTGTTCTCGCTGGCCGGTGGCTCCCGGCCCTGGCCCTCCCCTGCGCTCCCCCCCCATCCCCAGCATCCCCGGCTTGCTCCAATCCCCCCCTTCCTCTCTTTATTTTTTGGGGGGTGTGTGTGTGTGTGTGCGGAGGCCTGGGAAGGCTCCGGCTTTGTGTGTGGTGTGGGGCAGGGGCTCTGGGCCCCTTCCTTTCAGATGCAGGAGGTATGCAGCTAATTCAATGGGCTGCAGTTTGATTACCTATCTGATAACAGAGGAATGCCAGCAATGTGTGTGTTTTGGGAAGGGGGCAGGGGGGATGCGCAGGGACCACCAGCCACTCCGCAGCTCACATCAAAAGGCTTCGGTGGGGGGAGAGCTGGGGCGCCCCGGCCGCTGCCCCCCTTCCTTCCCTGGGGAGAGGGCGTTTCCTTTGGCCTTTTGGTGGAGGGGGCCGGGGGCCGGGGGGGCGGTTGTCATCCTCACCCGCTCCTGGAAAACAAATCGCTTCCCCGTCATGTTGCGGCAGCTTCTGTCCCAGCGCTTCCTCCTCTTCCTCACCATGGGGGTAGCGGGTGGCTCACGGGGTGTAGCAGTTTGGCTGCCCACGGGTGATGGTACCCAAGGCACGGGCTGTGAGCCGGGGGGGTGGGGGGGGTGTCCAGCCTCTGTGTGCCAGGGTACCCCCTAGCCATGGCTTGGCTTTGTCCTGAGGCTTGGGGCTGGGTGCCTGGGGGTTTTCATGTCCATAGTGTAAACACAGCTGGGCTGCTGGGGCTGTAAACACCCCATCAGGATCTACGGGAGGACCTGGCTCTTGTCCTGCAGCCGCCTCCTGGGCCGTGCAAGTGATGCTCACCATGGAGTGGTGCTCAGCTCCTCACCCCCAAAACGCTGCTGCTGATGGAGTGGGGCAAATCCACCATCTGTGGCAGCCCCTGTGGCCCAAACCACCTCACACAGGGTGGTGACTGACCCCAAGGTGCTGAGACTGAGCTAAGCACCTCCTGTGCTCTGCTGGTAGATGCTTTGGACACAGTGGTCTTGCTTGGGTGATTCTCAGCATCCTCCTGGTGCCGCTCAGTAGTAGGGGAAAGCTGAGTTGGAGTTTGGGAGCAGCATTTGGCTGTTGTGCTGAGCATGGAAGGGTGTTTGCCACTGGTGGTGGGACTACCCAGCATAGCCATGGATGGGCAGAGGTTGCTGTAAGACCCTGTCATGTCTTTGTTGTCACTGGGGACCCCATAGCTTATGGTTTGGTTCTCCCTTCTGGGAGCAGAGTGGGTCAGAAAGCAAAGGTTTCAGACAACCCCATCTGGCCTGCTCTGGACCCCACTCCAGCAGGAAAGTGGACCTGGTGGATGTGGGTGACTTGTCCCAGCCCAATGGGTCTGTCCCACCCAGAGCTGGGCCCCCAAACACAGAACTGGGGGGGGGGGGGGGGGGAAGCAGAAAAAGGGGCCTCAAGGTTTGTTCCTCGAGCTCTGCTGCATTCCCAGTCCCCCATGCGCCCAGGGACACAGGCACCGTGTCCTGCAAGATCCTGCTGAAAACCAATCACTTCTAAACCCCAACGACTCCAATTCCTCCCTCTTTGTTTTCATGTGGGGTGTTTCCACGTGGGTCCTGGTGGGGTTGGGATGGAAGAGGGGACCCGGCCACGCACCCAGCAGCGTGTGCATGGAGGCTCTCGGTGCGGGAAGAATGGGCGGCCGCGGCCCACGTGACGGGAACTCACCAGGATGAATGGGGGAGATGCTCCATTCATAAATGCAGGGTCCCGCGGCAGCCGCGCAGGCGTTGGCGCCGGGAATCCCCAGCCTGAATCCCGAGCCCCTGGAGCTGCTCCTCCCTCTGCCGGCAAATCCCTCTTAACTCTTTGCTCGTGCTCGTTTGAGCTCTGCTAAGACCTGGAGCAAAAGCCCTGCTTGGATCGCTGCCGGGATGCAGTGGTCCTGCACTGATGCTCACGGCAGCACTTGCTGGTACAGAGGGGCAAGAGATGTATTGGCTGCATCATCCAGCTCAGCTCCTTATGATTTTTTTTCTGCTAAAATCATAGAATCACAGACTGGTTTGGGTTGGAAAGGACCTAAAGATCATCTATTTCCAACCCCCCTTGTCATGGGCAGGACTTATGGAAGTGGAGTGGATTTTTTAGCCATTTCATAGCCTCCCTTCCCAGCCTGGGTCTTTATGAAGTCTCAGGTTAAATTGCACTGTGACCGATGTGGCAACCCTGGGAGGGACAGGAGATGTTCCCCACAGTGACAACCCAGGGCCAAACAGCTGCTTAATGAATTATTGGAGGTAATTAAATGGCTTGAAGCAAGGGGGCTGGCTGGGCTGGGACCCTGGGCCAGCAGTGCCAGCTTCCAGCCCCCTGGCCTTGCTATGGGTCCTGCCACGAGCAGGGCTGTATGTGCCTTTGCAAAGCCTTGAGATCCTTTTGTTTTTTTTATAATGATGTTCTGTATCTCCCTTCGAGCAGCCCCAGGTGCCAGGAGGTGCAGGGGCAACTCTTGCCTGTTCTTGGGAACAAGGGGCTGTTTTGGAGTGCTGAGTCAGCATTTTGCAGTGAACCCTGTTGACATTTGGGTCAGAGCTGGCTCTGCTGGCCCTTGCTTGCCAAACCAGTGAGCCCCACTTAGCCAGCTGCCTCAGCTCACTAAAGGCTCTGTGTTACCAAATGGGGCTCCAGAGACTTCATGGAGATGAAGGTGCTTGGTCCCTGATATCCATCCCCCCACAAGGTATGGCCATGGGGGAGATGTCAGCTCTTGTGCCACGGGAGGTGTTTGCTTACTGTGTGCCCGGAGAACCCCCGGCTCTGTGCTGACTCCCATCCATTCCCTGTTCCCCCCCAGAGCAAGCTCCACATGGAGGGTTTCCGCAGCCTGAAGGAGGGCGAAGCTGTTGAGTTCACCTTCAAGAAGTCATCCAAAGGTTTGGAGTCCATCCGGGTGACCGGCCCGGGAGGTGTCTTCTGCATCGGCAGCGAGAGGAGACCCAAGGGCAAGAGCCTCCAGAAACGCAGATCGAAAGGAGACCGGTAAGAGGTGACTCGATCCAGGGCAGGGTCTAAGCCCTGCGGGTACCAGGAGCTGCCCAGCACCCTGCCTGCAGCATGGGGATGGGTTTGGGTCCAGTGGGGCAGGCAGTGACCCCTCCTCTGGGAAAGCAGCTTCCTTTAGTGGTTAATGAGTGGCAGATGCAGCTTGGTGGGGAAAGGGCAGCAAAGCAGCAGTGAAGGGCAGAGGTCAGGGACACCCCGGGCGGCTGCTGCCCTCGGCGGGGGGATCCATGCTGGGCATGGGTAATTTTCTTGGAGAGAAACCCTTCCTTGTGGGAAGGAAAGGGCCGGACGTCCTGGCAGCATCTCCACGGTGAGGCCGGGAGCCCCAGGGCGAGTTTGTGGCCAGCCCTTCATCCCCCACTCCTCTCCCATCCCTTCCATCCTGGCTGCCCCAAGAGGCGTTATCCTGGCTTTCCCAGTGGATGCTGCCCAGCCAACCTGGCATTTCACACACAAGTGAGTTCTCAAATGAGTCAGCAAGGGATGGGGAAGGAAAAGGAAAGAGAAAAGGGTTGTGGCTGTCCTGGATGGATGCAGGATTTCAAATGCACACAAGGCAGCAGCTTCCTCTGCCCACACTGCTCTGTGGCACCTGAGGGGATGAGTGCTGCAAGGGTACAGCCACAAGAGAAACCACATCTGGGGTTTGTCCCAGCATTGGTGGCCAGAGTCCCTGTAACTGAGCTGTTGTCCTATTGCCTGTTCCTGTGCTGCTGCAGACTTTTGGTCCATAGCATGGAACCCTGGGTGCAGGGTCTGTATCACAGGAGCCAGAACCATGATGGAGCCAGAGAGGTGGAACCCCCCCCCAGCATCCCTGCTTTTTGTCCCCATGCTTGGTTTCAGTGCAGGGGTTTGCTGCCATCTCCTGGGTACCAGCAACACCACTGAGCCAGGCCCAAACTGGCTGAGACGGGGCTCTGCAGGGACCAAGCCCAGGGCCACCATTCACCCCCAGAGAGCCTGCCCCACATCCCTGCAGCAGCCACCCATTTGAAGCCCAGCGCTGGCTGTGGAGCCAGACGGGTCCCAAGCACGGCCAGCGGCAGCATCCCACCTCATTGTATTTCTCCTCCTGGAATCTCTCTCCTCCCCCCCCCGCAGATGCTACAACTGTGGTGGGCTGGACCACCATGCCAAAGAGTGCAAGCTCCCGCCGCAGCCCAAGAAATGCCACTTCTGCCAGAGCATCAGCCACATGGTCGCCAACTGCCCCGCGAAAGCACAGCAGTCCCCCAGCTCCCAGGGCAAACCTGCCTACTTCCGAGAGGAGGAGGACATGCACAGCTCGGCCCTCCTCCCCGAAACCCGGGAATGATGGTGGGCGGCAGGGAGAGGGGGCTTCCACCGGGATGAAAAGGCTTTGGCAAGGCAACGGGCAGCCGCGGGGGCTCGGAGGATGGACGGCAGGGTGAAAGACTGGGGAGGGAAGGCAGCAGTGCTCATGGCAGGGACCTGGTGTCCCCGCACAGACCTTTTCCCCCTGTTCCCAGCCTGGGAAAAGCTCTGCCTTTAATCAGGATGGCTTGTTCCAAACATAGGGGAAGCAGGGCCCAACACACCTCTTCCAGCTAAAAAGAACCAAACCCGTATTTCATCTGACTTTATTCTTCTCCTAAAGGAAGCCAGGCAATAGCGTCTCTGGGAGGAGGAGCAGAGAAGCGACACCTCAGGGAGGAGTTTATGGCTCCTTGTTCTCCTGAGTTTCAAACAGGCTCTAGCATGGCTTGGATGAGCGGCAGGGGACCCACTCCTATGCCTGCCCCATCCCGCTCTGCTGCAAGGAGGAAGGCCAAAAGGGGAAGGCTGGCTGCAGAGCACTGGGGAGATGCTGTGGGCTGGCCCCACGGGTCCCCTCATAGTTTCTCACTTGCAGATTGATCTGGGGATTTGCAGTTTCTCTGTGGTTGCCCCACTGCTGAAAGCAGCAGAGCCCAGCTTTGGGCTCAGTCTGGAAGGAAATGGGGCATCTCTGGGGTCTGGGCTAACGCTGCCTGCTGCGGGCTGCGAGCTGCAGCTTGGGGAAGATCAAGTCGAAAGAAAAACACTTATTTTCCCCCTACCTCTTCCTAAGTGCCAGCCCAGAGAGCACAAGGTGGTTTATGCAGCCAGCTCCTCCCTTCTAAGGCTTCTCCCTGCCTCTGAAATGCAGAGCTGGGGAGTAGGAGGGCTTCACAGAGCAGAAATGCTCCTCCCTAAGTGTTGGGCACCAGACATGGGGCAGAGCCAGCTCCCAGGGATGCTGCTGGCAGCGTTTCCCTCAGAGGCTGAGGACAGAACTCTCTGCTCACACAGATCCAGCCATGGCTTAAACTCACGCAGGGCAAAGCCACGTCTCTGCTCCTCCTGCCCACCCCCTACTCCTGGGCTGAGCCTCCCCAGGGGCAGAGGGAAAAGGTGCCCCGGTTGTTATCTGCTGCTGTCCCCCCTCCCCACCGCCCCCCCCTAAGTCTTGCCTTTATTTATTGCCCCGGTGGACAGCCCCCCTGGTCCATGTCAAAGCCAACACCAAGTGAAACCTGCACTAGGACGTGCGTGAATGACGTATCTTTGGGTTTGTTTGTCGTCTTTGGTGGGTTTTTTTTTTGATTTTTTTTTTTTATATAAATATTCTGGTTTTGTATTTTTGTATATTTTAATCTTTAAGAAAAAAAAAGGGAAAAAGAAAAAAGAAAAAAAGAGAGAGAGAGAAAGGACATAATTCCTGCAAGTTATTCTCAGGTATTGAAGCAATCTCAGGGATAAAATGCTTCTGTAGCCCAGTGCTGGACAGAGAGGAAGGCTTTTTCTAACAGCACAAAACCATGACCAAGTTAGTATTGGAAGTGTAGCTCTACCTCACTGGATGTTTGCCAGGTGGACTGTCGTTGTCACGCTTTTCAGTGGTGTTTTTTGGTGTGTTTGGGATTTGTTTTCTTTTTAACTGTGATTTAATAAGAGTCTCTTTCCCTTCCCCATGGACTGAGGAGGAGTTTGGGTCCGTAGATCAGTGTGTGGGGATGGAGAAGCCAGGCAGTGCCATGGGAACAGCTGCTAGAGCCCATTTTGGCTCCTCAACTCCAGATTTTCTCCCAGCCTGGTGGCTTTTGAGGACTGTCCTCCATTTCTCTCTCCTGTTTATGCTCCAATGTCCCCTCCCTGCTGTCCCAATGGGAACACTCCAGTCTGCCCCATGTCCAAGTCCTCCTATTGCCTGCGGGCTGGGATGTTGCACAGGCTCCCAGCAGGCTGGTGCCGTGTGGCTGGGGGCTGGAAAGCCAGGATGGGGGTCCCAGCCTGTTCAGGGGGACATGGCAAGAGCAGGCAGTGGCCAGGGAGGTTGTTGGGATTGAGGATAACCTCAGTCTCCCCTGCCCTAACTCAGCCTCAGGCAAAAGGCTGCTGTGACCTCCTGGGACAAGGGACCTGGTGCCAAGGTGGACCCAAGTCCAAGGGAGGTACAACTGCTTCTTCTTTCTTCTCCCTTCCTGGCTTCTCCCAAATGCTGGCTCACAATGGCTGGGGTAAACTCTGGATCCCTGGTTTTGGGGCATTAACACTCCACTTGCAGCCTGGGGGCTGGCTGGAGCCTTCCTGTGCTGGCATGTCAGGACACGGGTGCTGTTTCTGCTGGGTTTTAGGTAGCAATAGGTTTAGGTGCAGAGCAGGGCTGGAGCAGACGGGGAGCACCTACTCCATCCTCACAGATGGGGCTTGCTGAGGCTGCTGGAGCCCAGTGACCCCTCTGAGGCTTTTCTCTGCCCTGCAGCACACGGAGGATGGAGAGCAGCTCCTCGGCTGCCTGCCCTGCTCCCGTAGTTGTAATGGTGAGGTGGTGGTCTCTTCTTGGGAGGGTGTGGGGAAGGACTTTGTAAGTTCTTGACTAGCAACGGGATCAGTACAAAACTACTTCAGCAAAACAGCTTTTGGCTGAACGGGGTAAATGCAATAAGAGTGCACTGGGCTGCGCGTCTAAGCCTTGCACCTCAGCCCTGCTGCCGTGTTGTTGGGGGCTGTTGGCCTTCCCCTGGCACCTCGGTTGTGGCAGGGAAACTGCTGCCGCCCCTCATTCTGTCTTCAAGAATCGTGTAGGACCTTCCCCCCCCCCCCCTTGCCCCCTGTTTAATGGTTTGGTGTTTTTTCTGCTAGATGTCTATAGTGTGTGTCAAGACCTCTGTCAAACTTCCCGTTTCTCTCAGTATTCTCCTTGATATTGTTTACAAAAGGCAAGAGGAAAAAAAGAAGAAAAAGGAAAAAAAAAATATATAGCCAAAGCATCCAATAGGTTATGGATGAGGGAGAGAGGATGTCCTCTGTGTACTGCCCCCACACAGAGCTGCAAGGGGCAGGAGCTCTGTAACCATCCCTGTCCTAGGCTGAAGTAAATGGCTTAGAGAATCACTCAGGTTTTTCCCCCCCGGAGCCAGCGTGGTACCGGGATCCAAGAAAACAGGGAGTTTTTTCTGTAACGGGAAGCCCCACTGGAGAAGATGGGGTTGAGTTACATCTCCTCCTCGCTCTTCCCATGGTGGTTCTTCCCGTGTCTTGACAATAATGAACTAAATTGCTGCATCATCACCCCCCTCCCCTGCCCACGCTCGGCTCGCAGGCGCTGGGCACTATGCATTAGGGGCCAGTGAGGCTGCACACTCAGGGTCCTGCTGGAACACGGGAGCGTTTGAATGTATGATGAGGAGAAGACGTCCCTCACGAGGGGGTGTCCCCGGGTGCGAAAGCCTCGACTCCCACGATTGTCTACGAGGAGACGGAAGAATGTAATAATCCATGTTTACTGCTAGCAACCAAAGCGTGTTTGTGTCAGACTCTTGGGGGTTTATGAAGCGGGAGGGAGGGAGGGAGGGAGGAACAGGGGTGGGCATTTCCCAAAGAGGTTTCCCAGTGGAGTCCCTGCAGCGGGATCCCCAGTTCCTGCTGCTGCAGGTTTTAACCCCTCGGTTTATTTGAATTTGGTTTTGTACCAACTATGTAAAATGTGTTGTTTTTATTTCCTTTTCTGGAATAATAATAATAATAATAAAGACCATGGGCAGTGGCTGCTGGTGATGTTCTGTGTGTGTTCTTGCCTTCTTCCTCCTCTGCGGTTGAGGAGCCCAGACCCAAACTGGGACTGCCTGTGCAGAGGGAATGGGGATACCCCAACCAGCCCCCATAACCACTACGGCCTTGCCGCACGGGCCCTATAAGCACCCCAGTCCCACCCGCAGCTTGCAGTGACCTGCCAACACCCCCATTGCCCTGGCACGCCCCAACCCTGCCCGCCCTCAGCCCCTCCAGCACCGATCCTGCCTCAAAGCCCGCTCCCTTTCACCCCTCCGAGCCCCGGCCCCGACCGGGCTCCGCCATCGCCGCCCGCTCCCCTCAGCCACCTCACGGCGCCACCGCGCCTGCGCGCCAGCCCCGCCCTCCCGCCCTGCCGCACGCGCGCCTGCGCACGCCTCCAGCCCTGGGCGCGGGAGGGTGACGTAGGCGGAAGGGCACGTCACCCTCTGGGGAAGGCTGAGGCGGCGCCGCCGGGAGAGGTAACGGGCGGTGGCGGGGCCGGGGCCGGGGCCGGGGCCGGGGCAGCTGGAGCTGGAGCTGGGCGGCCCTTTGGGGCTGTGCTCCGCTCTGCGGTGGGAGCTGTCTCCTTCCACCCTCTGTCACCCGCCGGCCACCCTTTCCCTCCCCTCCGGGAGCCGGGGGAGGCCTGAAGGCCGCCCCCAGAGCGGGCGCTCCGCGCGGCCTTCCCCCCCCCCTGCTACCTCCGCCCCTGTTCACCCCGTGCTGTGGGTAGGGATTGCGGGATGAAGGTGCTGCACCCACGGGCTGGGCAGGAGCGGGTCCTGCCCCCCCCCCCCCCCCCCCCCCCCCCCCCCGGTGCTCTGTGTCGGTGTGCAGGCACGGGGCGCCTGTGTGAAGGTTGTTCTTTAAGGTGACTGTGTGAAGGGTGGGTTGCTTCGACAGCGGTGGAAGAGGATGTGTTTTCAGACCGAGCTGGTCAAGGGGAGCGTTAAGAGCTTTAGTAACAGAGGCCGAGGTTCAGCAGTTCTTTGCCTTAATGTTTTGTGGCTGCGTCTGTGGCTAAACATCTCTTCCTGAGGGAGGAGGCCCCATGAAAACTAATGTAATCAGTGTAATTTGAATCTATTCTGGTCCCTAGATGAGAGGCTGGATCTGGACTGTTGCCCCCACAGCTCTCTGTTCAAAGCTGCTTTGCCCGCATTCTCAGTGTTCCTAGCTGAGGGAGTTGAAGGTTAATGTGGAAGCTCAGCAGATTTGATAACTCAAACCAGATCTTGGTATTTGATGTGCGGATAATGTGGTAAAACCCCCAGTGTTTTTACAGCTCTGGAGCTGAGATTGCCCCTGTGAAGGAAAAGCAATATCAGTTGTGACACAAGTGCAGGGCAGTTGGTGGTGTAGAGGGTTGCATCATTTGAAGGATTTCCAGCAGCTCCCGACACAAAAGCATTGAAGGTCAGTTTGTGCTGCTGCCACCCTGTGACGTTCCTGGTGGTTGCCCAAACTGTGTGTGTGTCCCAACCCACCAGCACCGTGGCTGGAAGATGCGGTATGTGGGTTTTCTTCTTGTTACCAAAGAAAAAAGAATCCAAGGAATCCACTTTGCTGACACACACTGGAAAATTCCAGTGCTCATTTCTGAGCTCCCCCATGTTCTGCTTATCAAAGTACTTGCACAGATGATAGAAAGGGCTCCAAAGCAGCTAGTCAAAGCTTATTTTTCTAAGGTGATCATTTGTAGTTTTGGGCTCAGATTCTTCTAACCCTTTTATTTTCATCTTCCCATTGAAAAAGAAAAGGAGCTCTTGATAAAACATGTCATGGATCAGAGAGGGCGAGCTGACCATCATAGAGAGATTTTGTGCCAACATTATTAAGGTAAGGAATTAATTTGGTTACCTGTGGTAAGGGACTGGGAGGTTCCTCAGGGTGCAGAGTGGAACTGCCTTTGTGGCTGCTCTATTCTAGAAAGGGTGTGTGTTGGTGCTGGCACTGGATGTACATCCCTTAGCAGTCAAGGACAGAAGATTACTTAAGCTTAGCGTTGCAAATGAGCAATGATGTAGGCAGTGTTTGCCAATAATGAGCTTACACTCCCAGGCTTCCATGGTGTGTGCCCTTGCTGACGAAGGCAGGGCATGGAAGGAGAAGGGAGAGAAGCAATATGGTTGGATTGTGAGTCTTAAGAAATGAAACTGAGTTTCTCTTGATTAGAATAACAACTCACCGGTTCCAGGAAGATTCTTCTGCTCAGCAGAGTCTTGAGACTGGTGACGATGTCCTTGTGAAAGGGTCTGTGCAGACCTGATGGAAAAGAATACTCAACTGGGAGAAGGTCTTATGACTTCCTTTGTTCTCTCTGAAGTGTCCGTGAGAATGCCCTTGTGCTCTGAAATAACAAATACTTGCAATAGCAGCAGCATAACCCTGTGTGCACCCTTCCCATGGCTGCAGAGAGGTAGCTGTGGCACTGCTGCTTACGGCAGCTCTCTGTTACACGAAAGAAATGGGGAGGGCCAAGCTGCTGTTCAGTTTAGGCAGATGTCAATACTGACATGCTTTTTAGAGAGCCTAAACTGGGGTTAGCAAAGGGGTCATTAGCGTTGTGCTCCTTCCACCTCCAGACTTGAATCTAGGAGATAACATTGCAGTCCTACAAACAGGCAGTGCTGCCAGGAATGGTGGCACTAAACTCAGCAGTGCAAGATGCCAGCTGGGCTGTTTGCTCTGTTGGGTTTCTCCTCATTTTCCAGGCAGGTCCAATGCCCAAGCATGTGGCCTTCATCATGGATGGCAACCGTCGTTACGCCCGCAAGTGCCACGTGGAGAGGCAGCAGGGGCACTCGCAAGGCTTCGATAAGCTGGCTCAGGTGGGAGGACATTTGCTGCCTTTGAGTTGTGTGTTGAAAGCTTGAGCCATGTTTCCTGGTGTGTTGTGTTCCTTTTCCTCACTGGAGTCAGGCCTGTGCTTGGAGCTGATGTTAGTCATCAGGGTTCCCAGCTTCACCTCCTGTCTGTCTGCTGTCTTGCAGAGTCATTCTCATCAGCTATTCTTTTCCCCTCTGTTTTGCACTCGATTAAAATAGCCACCTTGCAGATCTTGAGGCTTTAATTCTGTGAAACAAGTTGAATTTCTTTGAAACGATTTTGAAAGGTATGGTATTAAATAATTCATAGTGTTATCTGCAAGAGGTGCTTTCCCCTGGCTGGATTAGTCCCATATCTGTTATGGATTCTCATCCGTAGAAGTGCTGTTTTCTCCCTGTTCTTTAAAATGAATCTGAAATTCTCATCAAGTAGGTTTTATTGGCAGCTTTCTATGATTGTTTCTTATAATCCAGTCTTAGCATAGCGGAAAATAACAGGAAGGTTATAGCAGTGGAGAAGCTGGGTCTTGCTGACCTGATTGTCTGAGTCTGCTCATCCGGCTTCTGTTTTTCACTCTGTTTTGTCTTCTTGCAGACACTGCGGTGGTGTTTAAACCTTGGCATTCGGGAGGTCACTGTTTATGCCTTTAGTATTGAGAACTTTAAACGCTCCAAGGAGGAGGTGGATGGACTAATGGATTTGGCAAGGCAGAAATTTAGCCGCCTACTGGAAGAACAGTAAGAATCTTCTCATGTCTGTATCCCACATTGTGGAACTAAAGCAGAATATGATTAGGAGTTGTTTACAGGGATGTTACTAGTTGTGAAAATGGATTAAATGAAGGAAGCCTTTTTCTCCAGCCAGAGTTTTGGGTTGAGGGACTCTGCCCAGCCGGATGGGATGTACAGCTCCCGAGTGGGCACAGTCCCCATGCACACTGGGTTTGTGTCTGTATCCTCTGGCTCACTGCAACAATCCCAGGCAAGCAGCTGGGACAATGCAGCTTTCGAATAAGCACAGCACAATTAGGAATTCTTGCTTAGCACAAGATGCTCTCTGCCTTGTTTCCAGAAGTCTCAAAGCCTTGTCTTAAACTCTGTCGCAATATTCTTGGCAGATCAGAGTTCAGCTCAGCAACTTGAGCTGTGGTAACCTGAGACTTCTACATATGGGCACACAGTGTGTTAAATCACTTGTTGGAGTTGGAGAGCTAGTTAATGTATTGTGAGTAGATGAAACTAGTAGAGGTCTGGGTGAGCAGGGAGGAGTGTTACAGTGCTGTGTTGCCCAGTAACTCGGTGGATATGTTGGTTTCCCCATGCCTGACTCGTGCACAGAAGGGGTCCTTATCTGGTCAAGGTAAATTTGAAAGGCAGCAAAGGAGCACAGCTGGAAGGAGGGAGAGGATAGCTTGGGTGTGCTGGTAGGAGCTGGGAAGATCAGGGCTACCTGAGCACTGGAGTACTCTGTGATTCAAAGAGGCCGTTTCCCTACTTTCTACCCAATGCAGCCCTTCATCAGGGAGTTTGCAGCAGAAGACAGACAGCAGCAGGAAGCCATAAGATCCCATGGGATGTCCTGTCTGCTCAGAATACTGCTATAGCAGGCATGGATGACTCCCTGTCTCCTCTGATGTTCACTCCACCACCCTCATTGATACATTAATCTTTCCTTGCACCAGAAAGTAGCTGTGCCACTCTGTGGGTGACCATTAGTCATCTTAATTTTTAATTAGATATAGGTACCAAGAGTCTGTGGTTGTATTGTAAGATTTCCATGTGGATTTTCATAACTTCAGGTAGGAATGCCTAATCTGTGATCATTTTCTAGTCCTTTGATTACATTTGTACCTCAGGAACTTGCATGGGGAATGATCAGTTTCCCTTCATGAACAGTTTGGGATGATCAAATCTAAGGCAGCTTTCCACACCTGAAAA